ACCTGAGTAGCCTTATCTTCCATAGTGTCTAGTAGTAGAGTCGTGGCAAGCTGGAGCTGTCCGTTGTTTACTGGAGTTAAGGCGTGGTGGAGTTGCATTAGGCCTTAAGTTTACTTCCTATAGAAGGTTTCATACGTGATGTAGGTATCGCGTCTTGTGTGTCGCGATGAGGGCATCGCGTCTTGTGTGTCGCGATGAGGGCATAGCGTCTGTGTTTGTTCTTTGCGCTTTGCTTCTGGTCTTCAATGGGTCTGGACTTCCTTATGTATTTTTGGGCCCTGGTTGGGCCTATATTTTATCCGCATCAGTAGCCCCCTAGCTTGCGATTTTGTCATGTGGCAAGGCCGCGAGCTATATGCTGCTTTTTGAGGCGCGGTAGTTTGTTTTTCATATGTTCTCTTCTGTGTGCCGCAGTGATTATGTTTGTAATGTCATCATGACTCTCAACCGCTTAAGAACGGTGGATTAGACGTCTAATTAGTCAGAAGCATTAAATGCTATTGTGATTACGTGGGGGTTTAAGGACAGGCGTGAGTGGTTTTGTAAATAAAAGGCTTCCTCTCCCCGCCACGTGTCCCTGTTAACCCATTTTGCTCAACACGTTTCGTGACTTTCGGTCTATCCGTTGGAGAGAAACCTTTCGTATTTGTGCTGAGCCTTTTAGTTTGGAGGGAAAAAACACTTCGCTGATACTGTGGAGAATCTCTCGTCTCTCAGTGCTTTTTTCTTCTGCATTTCCGGTGGTGACACGTCCTGCTCGTGGTGTGCATTTCTGAAGTATAAATCTCAGGTATGTTCTTCCACCTGATTTTACCTGTGTTTCTTTCTTATTTAGCCTTTTCTTCCTCGTGTTTGAGATATGTCTGATAATCGCAAATGTGCGGATTTTATTAGATTTTTCGAACGGTCTGGTTCGTCTAGTCCTCCGTCGAGATTGTTATCAAGATCAAGGTCTTTGGAAACTAGGGATAAACGGCCTACTGTAGGATATATAGCCCCCTGTTCCAAAGCGTATGCTAGTCATGTCCCCTCAGTCCGTATGTTTGAATTAGGGTCATCATCGCGACAATCTAATCGCGAAAAGATATTGTCTCAACATAGTTCGTCTTTGTTTCCCAAGATTTCTTTGAACATGTCTAAGCCTATTGAGATATCGAGTGACTCATCGTCGAGTACTGAGGGCAGTTATAAGTCAGCTGATTCAAGAAGCCCTAAATCACCTTCCTTAAATTCATCGCACGATTCTTCGTGTTCCATCGCGCACGAGTCTTTTGGCCAGAAAAGCCCTAGTCCTTTGCCTTTAAATGTAATTTATCCAGCCGAGTATCCTTTTAAGAAAAGGAATTTTGATTATTATAAACCTGCTTCTTCTGACTTGTCTTCTTCAACTGATTCTTCTTCTTCTGAATTAGATTTTGTGTCTCCCCAAATCAAGGAAATTATGGCAAGACGCGGCACTCATGAGAAGAAGAAACATAAAACGCAATCTGATGCGAAGAAGAAAGTCTTACGCATTGACCCTAATGAAGAGTCTCCGGTGAAACGAAATTTACGGGATGAAGATTCCCTTAGTTGGGTGACAGATACAGTATTGGATACTGAGTCTGTATTGTGCTCTCCAGGAGAGTTAGCGGAGGTAACAACAGTGAAAATCTTACGCATTGACCCTGATGAAGAGTCTCCGGTGAAACGAAATTTACGAGATGAAGATTCCCTTAGTTGGGTGGCAGATACAGTATTGGATACTGAGTCTGTATTGTGCTCTCCAGGAGAGTTAGCGGAGGTAACAACAGCTTTGCACCTTACTCCTAATAAAGCTTTTGATGATCAATGGGAGATTGGTGTCGTCCCGAAGAATGGACGTGTTTGCTCATCGCGGGCAGAAGGATCTGTCAGGCACTTTATGATGATGTATTCCTACTTCTTTTTGTGTAAAGGAGTTCGTTTTCCTTTTTCTTCTTTTGTTTGTAAACTACTGACGCACTTGAATGTGGCGCCTTCACAGCTGACCCCCAATGCCCAGGGTTTTATCAGAGTATACGAGATGGTTTGCAAGGCCTATGGTCTGTTCCAATCTGTACAATCGTTCTTGTACATGTTCAGTGTAATGGGACCTCGTAATAGCTGGATATCGTTTAGGAGCAAAGTAAAATTCTGTGAGTCGTATTCTAGAAAAATTAATAAGTGGAGCACATAATATTTCAAGATTTAACCCGCCGAAGGTACCAAACCCTTTTTCATAGGCGATGATGGGACTCCTATCTTTCCGTTGCATTGGTCAGAGTATTCAACTGAAAGTTCTATCTTGGGCTATAACTTTACTGACATGAGTGATGTAGAATAAAAGACGGTGACCACTTTAGGTAACATTACTCGCGAGGCTTCTGATACGGGCTCGCTGAGTACGTTCACGATTTTAAATGAGTACTCCGAGGATGATATTCGAGCTTATCTAGGTAACTTGGACCCTTACTCACTTTATAAAAGTTTTAATCAAGGTACCTGAGCATATCGCGATGTGTAGATATGTTGGAAGTGTATTTAATTATGTCATTCTTTGTTCTGGTTTGCAGATAGTGCGATGACGGCGTCTTTAAGTATAATGGAACAGATTGCTGCCAATCGTGCTGCTGCTATTGCGGGTGCCTCCAAATCTCCCCAACCGTCCATGTTTGCGGTCGCCGCTGTTGCTGAGTCAAGCGAGCATGCTGCTGCGCGGTTGAAGTCTCCATTAAAGTCCTTAACTCCTTCTACTGCCCTGTTAGATGTCATCCCTCCTGTGGTAGTGGTGGAGGATACCGCAAGGGGTAAGAAAAGATCCATTGAGGAGATGACCAGGGGGTCTACTACAGGGTGGCTAGACTTTAGTTGGAGGTTGGACAATGATATGCGCGCTCATGGCAGAGGATTTGGCGCTCGTCTTGAGGCGCTACCTCGAGACCAATGGCTACAGGTTTCCCAGAGTTTGAGCATAGCAGGTCAATTCCTTATGTCCGCATCTGGTAATTACCTTGATATTTTACTGTTTATATGATATGATATTGCGCTTATACTTACTGCTTTTTAACATGTAACAGGTTCGGTGGACTTCCTGAAGGAGCAAATTGATGCGCTGACGGATGAAAATGCTCAACAACGCGCTGATTTTGAGGCTAAATTGAAGAAGTCTGAAGATGAGGTAACCAAACTGAAGACAACTATGGAGAAGAAGGATAGCGCCCTTAAGATCCTGACGACCTCCAACAAGGGATTGGAGGCAGAGAAGAATGATCTGTCCAAGCGCGTTTTGGAGCTGGAAGGAAACGTTGATTCCTGGGCCGATGAGAAGGCCTTCTTAACCAGTGAGGTAAAGAGGTATCAGAGTTTGTTTGAGAAAGAAGCTGAGGCAACTTTTGTTAATGTGATGGAACAAGTGCGCTTTTTCAATCCTTCCGCCAAACTAGACAATGTGCACTATTTTTACTATTTCAAGGACGGCCAGCTGGTGACACTTAACGACCAAAATCAACAGGTTCCAGTGGAACTGGTCAGCGCGATGGATACCGAGACTATCACGCCTACCGCGCAAGGGCCATCTCTTCAAGGTCCTCTTACCGCCGGTGAAGATCGCGCGACTCATAATGATGATCCTCAGGATATGTCTATCCAAACAGTGTGATATTGTTATAATTTTTTCTCGGAGTTGTATAATTTTTTGTTTTTTGTAAGGGGAATATCTCCATGTGCTCCAAAACAATGATGATTTGAAGGGGAGTGTCCCCATATACTCCAAATCAAATATTTTATGTGGATGGCATAGATGGTGTAAGTTTTTGTCTTCTAGTATGATGAATGCTTGCTATCCTGTTATTTGTAGAATGATCGGGGTTGAATTTTCCTTGAAGGGATATTACCCTTCTCTTCCTTTTTTTTGTTCTTGGACTTTCTTTGTATGGTGCCTGACAATCATACCTTTGTTCCTCTGTTCCTGATATCACGCTTTGGAGGGAATTGTGACCCAAGTAAGGTGTTTCCCATCTGTATGGTGCTAGAACGTTGCTTTCTCCGCGATCATTCAACGTGGCGAATCACGTTTGGTCATATAGGAGTCCTTTAGTTACAGGATCCTGTCAATGTGGAAAGTCCTTGTGAAGGGATCCGTTGCAAATGGAAAGTTCTTTTATCAGGAACCTCGACTTGTATTTCGTATGGAACTTGAACACCATAACTATATGCTGTAGGGTTAGACAATTTATAAATTATAAATACTGTGCGCACCTTGGTTAAGTTCATGATGTGTGATGTCATCTTGATGTGCACATGACGCATGCTGGTTGCGTCGCGCTTTTAAAAAGAGTTGGGCCCAAGGTGGGGTTCATGTTGCCACGAAATCGCGCTTGAACATGGAGAATCGCGATACGTCTTGGAAGATCACGATATGAATAATTCTGACATATGGAGAAGATCCTTATGAGGGAGTCCGTTGATTGGGGGATTCATAGGAGAATCCTGTTATCTGATAGGATCCATGAGAGGAATCCTGTTACTTGAAGGATTCGTGGGAGAATCCTGTTATTTGATAGGATCCATGAGAGGAATCCTGTTACTTGGAGGATTCGTGAGAGAATCCTGTTACTTGATAGGATCCATGAGAGGAATCCTGTTACTTGAAGGATTTGTGGGAGAATCCTATTATTTGATAGGATCCATGAGAGGAATCTTGTTACTTGGAGGATTCGTGAGAGAATCCTGTTACTTGATAGGATCCATGAGAGGAATCCTGTTACTTGAAGGATTCGTGGGAGAATCCTGTTATTTTGGGAATATTGCGATCCTGTACATTGATGCTTGATGCAACATAGATAAATAGCCAAAGGAAACTTGTGATTTTTTATTATTTGGAGAAATACGTTTGAAAGACAAATATGTGATGAGTCGTAAGAGACTTAGCTATAAAATGTCTTAAGCTTGTCCGCGTTCCATGTGCGTGGGATAGTAAGGCCAGATAGTGTCTCTATGACTTACGCCCCCTTATCTGTTTTGCTGTAGATGCGATAGATACCTTCCCAGTTTGCGGCCAATTTACCTTGCCACGCGTTCTTATTGCCGATGTCGGCTCTGCGCAGGACTAAGTCGCCGACGTTGAAGCTTCGTCTGACAACCTTTGAGTTATAGCACGTTTCTATTCTCTGTTTGAGCGCTATTTCTTTGACATGCGCAACTTTGCGCGCTTCCTCGATTGCGTCTAAATTATGAAGCAATGCTTGTGAGTTGCTGTCTTCATTTGTGTACATCCTTCTCCATGATGGTTCTCCAATTTCCACTGGGATCATGGCTTCACTACCGCAAACCATGCGAAACGGGGTTTCTCCCGTAGTTGAATGTTTGGTTGTCCTGTATCCCCATAACACAAAGTCTAACTGTTCGGACCAGTCTCCTTTAGCTGCTTCTAATCTTCTTTCCAATCCGCGTTTGAGGACTCGATTTGCAGCTTCTGCCAATCCGTTTGTTTGTGGAAGTTCAACCGATGTGTATCGGTGTTTGACATGCAAGTCTTGGAGAATTTGATTGAATTTTCTGTCCACAAACTGCGTACCATTATCAGTTATGATGGTATGCGGAACACCGAACCGACTTATGATTTATCGAAAGAAGAATCGGCGAACCTTACTGGCTGATATCGTGGCTAAAGCCTCTGCCTCGATCCATTTGGTGAAGTAGTCGATTGCTACTAGCAACCATTTGACCCCTCCCATGGCGATTGGGAATGGTCCCAATATGTCCATGCCCCATTGGTAGAATGGCCATGGGGATAGCATTGAAGACAATTCCTCTGGGGGAGCAAGGTGTAAGTCTGCGTGCTCCTGACATTTGACACATTGCCGCACGTGTTTTTTGGCCAACAATAGCCTGTATGAAGCAGTTTCTCGTGTACATCAGAGATTATATACTGAGCCTGCTAAGGATCTAAACATTTAAGCATTGGGGAGGAGAACCCTTTTTTTGTAGAGTTGGTTGTTGATGATAGTGTAGAACGAAGCCTTGCGCGATAGCTTTTTTGCTGCGCGTGTTTCTTGTGGTGCCTCTCCTTTGACTAAATAGT